GCGGTCTTACTACAATCCAAAGCAGCAAAGCAGCACACCACCCAACTTGGGTGGGTCATAAATATCAAAGACAAGTAAAGAAGGGGGAAGCTTTGCTAAAACGAATTGTACAAGCCGAAATTGTGCAAGCCTTCTCTACTTATCTTTGATATTTTATGACCCACTGCGATGCAGCGTTCCTCCTTTATTCCCAATCGAACATGGTTGAACAAGCGGTCACGTGCTCCTGCGTACACCAGTCACCTGGTCACCGTGCCTGCAGGGTACAACTTACTAGCCTGTTTGACCTTTTTTGGGTGCAGTCCTGTCACTTGAGTTGAACTCGAGTTGAACCTTGGTGTGAAAGTTGTCGCCAGGGAGTCGTAAAATAAAACAATAAAAAAAGGTATTTTACGACTCCCTGGTTGTCGCCTGCTGGGAGTGCTGGAGCGGTGACCAGGTGACTTGGGCACCCAGGAGCACGTGACCGCTTGTTCAACCATGTTCGATTGGGAATATAGGAGGAATGCTGCATCGCAGCCGTTTCGGACCAGTCGACTCAGCGTCTAAAAGACTACAACATATGGGCCAATCGCGGTCATCCGGGCTTTTATAAGAACGACATGGCGCTTTTAGTGACATTTTGCATACAAATCCCCATGTAGTAGGGCGCAGTCTCCCAGTTTCGGTGGAAGTGCGCGAGTTCGATTGGAAAAAAAGAAGGGAGCGTCTCAGCTTCCTCGGACCAAGACCATTCGACTCACCAGAGCACAGATGTTATTACTACAGGCGATACACTTTGCACTAATCTGGACGCACGCGTGCATCCACCCACACACTAGTACACACGTACATGTACACGACACCACAAACGCAAGACTGAATGCACGCACCCCTGTGGTAGTCAGGGCCCAAATTTTCTCTGCCCACATCGATATTTTGCCGCACAATTTTGCCACAAATTTTTCGATATTCTGCTTGGCATTTCCTTTCTCCGTCGGTATTTTGCTTTGGTTTTGCTCGAGAAAAAATGAGTTTCAAGGAAAACTCAACGATAATTGTCGCTGATAACGAGAAATGTTTTGATTGAGCTCCTGCTGCTGCTCAACTTTCTACAAAAATGTGGCCATGAGTCAGTTTTGTCCCACTTTTGTGCCTGTTTTCAACTTTGAAGACTGATTGCGTTGAGAAAGTCCCTGAGAAGCCTTGGATTTTCTGAAAAGCCCACCAAAACTCGATATTTTGCTCAAAACTTGCCGGCAACTTGCGCGTCCGATATTTTGCTCAAAGAATTGCTAGCAAATTTGGGCTATGACTACCCTGTGGTAGTCCCACTGAACTGTATCTAATAATGTGTATGATGCATGATGCATGATGTATTGTATGTTTGGTCTCATTGACAAGCCTTCAGTAAACAAGAACCGTAGTAGAAGCATAGTCAATGTACTAGTACTGGTACTCTGTTCTTGCTGTACGCATTCTCCCCATACTCGGCATACCCGGAGTAGTGCCATGTGTTGGACCAGTGACGTAGGTCTCATGTGATACTTGTTTTAGCTACAGAATTGTACATATTTGCGCATGCTTGCGCAAGGTCGAGGAGATCGAGAGGGAGAGCCCGAGAATGGCGGCCAGATCCACATTGTCCTGATTATTTATTATCCAGAACCCTTTCCTTGTATTTATTCTTAGTGCATGTATTGACTATCCTTTTGCTTGATTGAACCGTGTTGGCAGTCACTCACACTCCCAAGCCCTGCCACCAGCGATCGGCCACAGTGACGAACTTGTCACCAACCCATCCAAAGCTCGTCATTAGCACATGCTGGGAGATTTCACACAAACAAACACGCACGCACGCGTGCATCCACCCCCACACTAGTACACACGTACATGTCGCCACAAACGCATGCATGCACGCACCCCCAATGCATTATAGCAATAAAAACTGCTTTATGGCAGTTTTCTAAAAAAGTTATTGTGTTCTAGTCCATGGACCCCGTCTAAAAAGTAAGAAATTACCGAAATGTGATAGCCGAAAATTAAAATTTCACACAAAACCTCATAATAATCACAACACTTGAAATGCTGCTTTCAACACTAAACTTGTACTGCACCAACAATTGGCAACATGCATGCATAGGAAAGAGGATCACGAGGAGAAAAGGTCTTCTACGGTACATGTAGCTTTTCATTCTGTGTGTGATTATTGTGAGGTTTTGTGTGAAATTTTAATTTTCGGCTATCACATTTCGGTAATTTCTTACTTTTTAGACGGGGTCCATGGACTAGAACACAATAACTTTTTTAGAAAACTGCCATAAAGCAGTTTTTATTGCTATAATTTCTTTCTTTTTTTCTGTCACCAATTAATGGAATGCCTTATATCAATATGGAAATGATGGCCTTCACATCAATACCGCATTATACGCATGATGTGCAAGCCTTTTCTTGCAGAAAATGGCAGTAGCATAATGCATGTTCTTTGGCGGGGAAACATGTGAGTCGTGGTCTGGTGGTGGTGATACTTTTTTTATACGGAGGTCATTCTGTGCATGTTGCAATTTGCTGTTGCAGAATTTCATGACTGTCATAAAATTGTCTTGCCTTTCAGATATTCCAGATTTCCCCACCCTCGATCAGATTTATTTGAGAAATGTAGCCAGGTGCGTGTCGTAGATGTTTTTGTTGATTCTGTGTTCATAATGGTTTATAATCATGGGTTATCGTGATAAGGTCATCCTGCATCATATTGCACTGAAATGGTAATCCTGTTGATGCCGATACAACTTTTGGAAGTAGTTCAATGACTTCAAACTGTTAGTCCACGATTTTCTAAAACAACACAGCAAAGGAGGAACAATAAACATGTATTAAAATGTAAACGAATACATTGCTGAGTCCAAAACCTCGTTCCAACAACTACACTGATCCTGAGGAGAAAAGGGGCAAGGCTATGGTTGGAGGTACTGAGAGATAAACAAGGCACTCCACAATAATAATCTTACACATCTTTTGGTGAGTATGAATGATATCCAGTCGAACCTCTTTAGGACGAACACCAAGGGACCGATGGTATTTATTCTGTGAGCTTAACCTATTTTATAACCAGAGAATACAATTATATCTCCAATAGACATACGAATAGATTTCTTCTACAGCAAAAGATTCTAAGCCACACCGACTCATTGACTCGTCTCGTATGAAACAATTGAGTCACTAGAGAGATTCTGCAAAACGAAAATGCGTACAAACTTTCGCTCTACATCATGAAGTGCGAAACTTCGCACCTTTGGACGCGAAACTTGCAGGGAACGCGAAATGAACTGTCGTAGGAAATTTCGTGAGATCGGGTCATGGCGTACGTGCACTTGGCCCGCGCAAACTACGAAAATGTGCAGAACGCAAAGTTCGTGCAAAAATTCGCACACACTTTCGCAAGGACTGTCGCGAAACTTCGTTCGAATTTTCGTTTTGCAGAACCTCTCTACTGAACCTTTCTTTAGCAACATGACGGCAACTGAAACAGCAACAGAGAAAGTACGATACATGTACTCCACATTCTTACAGGTACTACAAACAGATTGCAGATCGTAATTCTTGCTTTGGCGGCACGAAACTTGATTTGGGGCAGTGCAATCTCGGCGGTACTCACAAATCAAACAGCCCAGACTCGAGTAAACAAATCCAAACATACAAGTAGGAGATTTTCATGAGACGAGACTGCACCCATTGGCTTGTTTCGTATGAAGCAAACAAGTTACTGATCCTCTCCACAATGGAGATTTTCCCTGATATGCGAATTTATTTGGCAAACTCGGTCAATGAGTCCTTGAACCTTTCCCTCCAGATTGGGAACTGCCAACGATAGTATGCCACTGACCAGTGCCTTACTTGTAACGTACTAATGTGCAATGAATATGAGTCTTTCGACAACACATCTAACATAAGCCTTACCGTCAAGAAGGTGAACTCGCGTTCTTCGCACACTGTAGGCAATTAACAAGTGCAAAGAGATAAAATGGATCTAAATCCGAATAAAATCAGCACACGTTTCCGTAAATGAAAGGGTGAGCATAAGCAAATGAATCGAAGGAAACTGGTCAACTCAGAGATCACCTGTCATTGAGTATTCCGTAAAAGGAGGCCTCGGCAGCGGAAAAGCTAAATTTAGAAAGGAGATCCTGTCAGCTTTTCCATTATTTATTGCATTCCGCCCAAAATCAGCACACTTTTCGTAAATGAAAAAGTCAACACAAGCAAATGAATCAAAGGGAACTGGTCAACTCACCTGTCATTGAGTAATATTCCGCGAAAGGAGGTCTCAGCAGCGCCGAAACGAAATAAGCCAGGCCAGGAGACGAAATATCCGAAACAGCTCATGTAAGAAGCAGTTCCAAAGAAGGAAGTTCCTCGTGCGCACGTGCATGCACATCCGAAAAGGCAACAACAAAAAGTCTGCAATGCACAGGCAAGCGGCCAGCCGGCCGCGCGATGGTACATGTAGGAGCCATGGAGTAGCTCCCTGGTCCAGGACCAGGTACCGAGCATCTTACGTAGAAACTTACGTAGCTACGTAGACAACGTGTCTGAATAGCGGTGTCGTTAGGTAGCGCCATGTGAACACAATAATAGAAAAGCTGACAGGATCGCTTTTCTAAATACAATAAAATAAAGTAAATAATAATCTTTATTAAAGGATCTCCCAGAGGCGATGGCCTGTCGAGGGGATCTCCTGATGCAAATCATGCAATAGAAATAAACAGTGAGGAAAACTACACGTGTTACAGTATATGCTACATAAATTAGCAATAAACACAGGGCTGGGTTGTTAAAAATAAAACAATTAATTTAAATGTCCAGGGATATACCACTTCAGTCAAATTTAAAACTTTTCACGTGCAAGCGATATTGCTGCTGAAATTTAGAAAGTGAATCTTGGGATGTCAGCCTTGGTGGAAGGCAGTACATGCATACATGCACTCCCTTCAGCGTCCCATAATAAGCACCAGCAAAGCAACTTTAAGAGAATGCCAAACATATGTAGGCATACACCAAACCAGTGAATATTGCATACATCAAAGTAGATACACATTCCAAAATACTCCAGCCTCGAGGAAAACCTCACTGTCTTCAAAAAACAAGCAAGATTAAACCTTGGCACTTGGTTCATGCATTTTGAAACCCCCTCGATAGGCCGCGGAGAAGCCTCCGGGGAGTCCCTAAGTAATAATATAGAAATACAAAAATGGCAATGGTTTGCAGATATTGAAGTCTGATCTTTGATCCAGATTGTGTTCACTTAGTTGTATTGAGGTATTCTGGAAGATAATTATGTCAGCAGTAACGCAGTCAGAACCGTACAAACACTAGATGGATGCACAATATGAATTTCAGAAACAGAATCTTCAATCTCTGGACAGACCCGCGGCCTCACAAATTCAGCAGAGCATCTTTCGCAGAATCTTCAATTCTGGACAGACTCTAACACAACAGAAACAAACAAACAAACAAACAAAATAAATAAACAAACAAACAAGCAACAACAACAAGCAAACAAACAAAATAAATAAACAAACAAACATGCTGTCAGACTGACATTGGAGTGACTGCTGAGTGCCAAGCACACCACAAGCACTTCCAACTGTCCACTCCGCAAACGTGCCTGAAAGCAACACTTCCTGCTCAATCCAAAGGTTTTTCGGGTAATTAACCCGAATCAGCCACTAAAGCTTGATAAGTAGGCCAAAGAAATTTGTGGCCCAGGCTCAGTGACGTGAAAAATTGATATAAAATCTGTCCCATGAATTATTGATCTCTTTTAATTGAAAGCTACCTTTCTCTGTTCACAAACTAAACCGGATTTTGAACTCCAACTTGGAAGGTTCATGGATATTGGTGGTAATTCCAAAGAGGGGATGGAAGGAAAGCCATTTTCCACGTTCTAAATTTAACATATTTTCTTGGCGCACAATCCCGAGTTCTAACTGCACACCTGACGAGCCGTTACGAACTATACGTGGTAACGATCATCGGGTGATACTATACACGTATACGGGAGTCAGAGAACGTTGTGTGATAATGGCCTAGTTCTCTGACTCCCGTACACGTCAACATCTACGGTAAAAAGTCCGAAACGGCTTGCGGTGTCATCCAGCAGCCACAAGTGGAGTGCAGAGTATGTACATGTACATGGCGCTCTTCTAACGAGGCGCTTCGTGAGTCGATTGGGTTGTACATTTATGACTCTCTCCCTATGACTCTCTCCCTAGGTCATACACAGTCAAGTTGGGAGTTGCCAAGGGCAACTACATGTGCGTGATTCAAAACTATGTATGGCGGAACATGGCTTCGCAGGCAGTGTAACGTAAAACAATCCATACATCGATTACGCTTTATGCTAACGTAATTACGTCTGACCGTCTAAAATGATTCAATCATGCTGTATACATGTACAAGGTGAAATGATAATACTCACCAAAGCATACAACCGAGCGATGCGGACGGTAGTGAAGCGTATTAAATTCGTGGCCGATATGCATTTTATTATCCACGTTGTTATACTGTCCGACAAAACCCTCCGTGTTAGTCCACATTCCATACGAACCATAGTGAGCATATGCTGCGAATCTGTAAAGGGTCGATGCCACGCAATGGTCATCTTTCATTTCATTATCTTTTAAAAGCAAAAAGCTACCCTGATCTCTGCACATCTTGTTTGCTTCTGTCCAGCTCGCAGTTAAAACAATACCGTTCCGGTCGGTCTGAAGGGTGGCTTTGTAGAAATTACAGATATGTGTTAAAGGTACTGTAGTGATGAAGCAAATGAACACACATGCACACATATGCACACACATGGGTTTACACACACACATACACACACACACACACGCACACTCACACTCACACACACACACACACACACATACACACATGCACGCACGCATACACACACACACGCATATACACACACATACACACAATCAACACTGCTATCACGCGAGCTCGGGTCTGCGGCAGTGAAGCATACCCGCATCAGGCCACTCAAAACACCCACAAAAGCACTAAAACTACAATTACCAAACTGCCTTACTGATGTAGGACCAGCTAAAACACCAACACCAACAACGCAACCCACAACATCCACAACAACCAACCATGCAATATTACAATTGTCAGACCAAGACGATCAACAGCAAACTGCAACAGAAGTTACACATTGTAAAAAACGGAAAAGGCAACTGGACCTAACTTGGTTGTGCTACTTTGCTGCTTCAAATTGTAGTTAGACTGCTTAGTCAAGTACTGGTATCATCACCATCCAGTAACAGTCGGCATTCTTTGTTACTGTACGACTGCCTTGTACTCGTTTGTTTTTGCACACACACCCCTCTTTCTCTCAATACTCTGTCAGTTCTGACTGCATTTAGTATCTAGTTTCAGTGGCGAACACTTACTCATATCCATATGAAGAGTTTGGATGCAAAGCGCGACAATCGGCCGAGATGAGAAATTGAGATTTTGAGTTCAGTGTGATCAATAGGTATAATAAAGGCAACTTCTGTTTGGCTGTGTGGTTTTCATGCGCCCTCGGTAGGGCTGTATGCTTTAACCCTTGATGGATAAGTCGTTGGCCTCAGCGGCCGTTCATGCGCCCTCAGCTGGCAGGTTGCCATTCGTGCGCCCGTGGTGGGCAGGATTACAAAGCCTGTCCCCTTGGAAAAATGCAATTCTGCGGCCGCTGCAAATTTCACAGAAGTTCCCATCATCCACGGAAATCACGGAATCCACACTTTTGCCTGCGGAATCTGAATGTTAAGGTAGATCAGTAAAATTCCTACTCAGAAAGCAGCAGAAAAACTACTTTGCGATCTGTTTGAGCACATTGCTCTTGCCAGTGTAGGTGAGTGCAGGTCTCTCCAAGATTCTTCACTCTCATTCACGGTTTGTGGCTGCAAAGGATAGTGTGAAAAGTACTCCTTAAAGCAACTAGTTGTCATATCCTCTACAAGGAAGGTGAACAATTTGCAGAAAGTGCCACAGATTTTTGATTTTACTGCAGAAAATGCCGCAGAAACCCCCTCCCCCCCCCCCCCCGGAATTTGCAGCCGAATTTTGAACTCTTGGCCGGGTTTTTTCTTCAAAGTGACAGCTTAGCCCTTGGGGGCTGGCTGTTGGCCTCAGTGGCGGTTCGTGTCGTCCGTCTGCAGTGAACAGCAGCAGGCTAGCCCTTGGCGAGCAACTATTTTCTGCACCTACCCATGGTAGGCAGTGTGAATCGCTGACGTTCCAATGTGATGACATTGCGCAGCTATTGTCATTTGCTTTCTTGGAACCAGTCTACCATCACATACTACTGTCGTGGACATGGAAACCCGGTTGGTGGTCAAGCGGCCCCAGGGCGCTGGCCATGCAGCCAGGGTTAGCACATGTGCACTGCGATCAACATGCGCATTGCATGCAACGTTCTGTACGCACTGACGGCGCCGGCCCCGGGAATTCGTCCGCATTTTCATGTCCACGCCAGTATACAGTCAACTTTGCGTATAACGACACTCGGTGGGGTATCAGAAAAGTGTCCTTATTTGCGAAGTGTCCTTATACGAAGTCTTATTATATGCATACAGGTAGGCGGGACTTTGTTCTGGGCATGGAAATTCTGTCGTTACTCATGAATTGTCGTTATATCCGCAGTCAATATTAGCGAAATTGACTATAGACCTGCATTGAGCATATTCTTTTCAAATCTTTATTCGAAAACAAGTCATGACAACCCTCAACCCTGCTTGTGAGTGTGTGTGCATGAGTACATTGTGGCTACCCTGGGCCTCACTGCGACGGTCAACATTAGCTAGAGAAGGCTACACTGGGCCTCACTGCGACGGTCGACATTAGCTAGAGAAGGCTACCCTGGGCCTCACTGCGACGGTCAACATTAGCTAGAGAAGGCTACCCTGGGCCTCACTGCGACGGTCAACATTAGCTAGAGAAGGCTACCCTGGGCCTCACTGCGACGGTCAACATTAGCTAGAGAAGGCTACCCTGGGACTCACGCGACGGTCAACATTAGCTAGAGAAGGCTACCCTGGGCCTCGCTGCGACGGTCAACATTAGCTAGAGAAGGCTACCCTGGGCCTCGCTGCGACGGATCTATTTACCCACATCACTGTGAGGTAGTTATAGTTTCATATTTCATAACCAGTTCCTACGCCCCTATTGTCAATAAAACTGCTGCATGGATTCGTCATTGTTCATGCAGGTAGAGTTGTCATTGAGTCAGTTCCTTACTCCATTCAATGATTGCATTGCCAATCCTGTGCAGCTACTATCTCTGGGAAGACATTACACTTATCTCCGTGAAGGTACTGTTAGGTACCTCCTCCCGTACGTTCTACAACCTTTTCCAAGCTGGCCTGCATGAACCCCATACTATGTCGTACTCACCTTTTGTCTCCTTTTGTCATCTTTTGTTCTGTTGGCCTGGGTAGCTACTTGCGCACCCATATTTGCCATAGCTACCCAGGCCCTTTATCTTGCCGCCCTCACTCGATCTGTCTCGCTCTCTTCCACAATGTAGTCGTTTCCGGTTCGTCCTTGTCTTCGTCTCCTATAATAAATGTCTTGCCAACTACCTGTTCCCGTTGTTGGTTGTGTCTTGGAAGGCAAGATGCTTATTCGTACTCATCAGTACTCAAATTCGTACTCAACAGTACTAACATTCGTACTCAACAGTACTAACATTCGTACTCAACAGTACTAACATATCTGTGTGAAGGTACTACACGTAACTCCCTGAGGGTCCTCTTGTACAGGCAAAATAAATTGCACAAATCATTCAACAAACTCTCATAATGAATTCAGTGAACTTTAAAATCAATTCAAATACTAGTGAATCCATTGGAACACAAAAGAAGAAAGGAAAAAAAACTAAAGGTAAAAGAGCCAACAATATCATTACCATACTGGCAGAGAAAAGCAGCTATTTACAAAGGCCCTATTCCTGCTCCTGTATCTCCCCGAGGGTACTAACTTCATGAAGATACTAGAGAGGTTCCGCACTACGTAAAGTTGAGCAACTTTACGTTAGTGGGCGGGAAAAACCCGTGAATTCGCGAGTTTGCACTCCACTTACGGAAAGTTGTCTACGTAGAGTACGTAGATAGGGCTCTGATGACGTAGCTGGTCCGTAAGTGGATTGGGGTACAAATTTATGACTCTCTCCCTAGGTCGATCTGGTCGTACACTGCCACGTTCGGAGTTGCCAAGGGCAGCTACGTGATTTGAAAACTCCGTATGGCGGAACCCAGATCGGCATGCAGTTTACGTAAGACTTTCCGTAGATCGACTACGGTTTTTACTAACGTAATTAGGGAGGTTTAGTCCCACGTAATCCGTGGGTACTTTACGTGGGTGTACCACGTGATACTCAGTGACCCACGTACAGACGTTTTCTGATTCACGACATGCCGTGTATGGAGGCTCACCCACGTTCCGCCAGAACGTGGGTGAAAATTAGAATGGAGCGCATTGTGCAAGCTGTGAGGGTGCTCAGCTGAAGAAGTTTCCGAAGCACGAAATCAAAATATTTGATGAGCTTCTTAGGCCCGGGTAGCTTCGTCTTTGACCAGGTTTGGGCCTTTCGCTTTATGCTTTTGTTTGTTCCGTGTGACTAAACACAACATTGCAACGTGGGTGCCCTTCATCCACTTTACGTGGATCACCCACGTACGCGTTTCCGTTACGTGGGAACTAAACCTCCCTATTACGTTATGCGGAACCTCTCTACTATCTCCCTGAGGCTACTAACTTCATGAAGATAAATTGTTATGTCTGGCCCTAAGGGCCCACACACAGCATTACTCAGGTTCGTACAGTTATTGTAATAATCAAGGAACAGAAAGACCAGGAACTTGAAGAGAGCCTACATTCTCGGACCTAGTCCAGCACAGCAAGCATGCAAAACCAGCCACGAGCCTAGGCGCGCATGCGCACCTTATCACATCACGTACACAGCACGATCTTCGTGAAGCTTTCCTCTGACAGAACAAGTAAATGTCCAGTGACCACTGGCAAGTTCAATTATCATTTCATTGGCCATTCGAAGGCTATCATGATGACAGCAACGAAATGCTGCCACAAATAGATCATTACTTGCGCTCAAGGGGCTCGTACTTTGCATTTTGTGTGACAATGCAATAGTTCAACATGGGATTAACACTGTTTGTTTCCTGCCCCCCCCTCCCCCCCCCCCACTATATTTTCCAGTCAAGAAACCTGACACAGGCTAAGTTTTGCTTGGTGAACAAGCACGCTTCAAAGAGCCCCGCACCTGGAGTACAGCTGATTTTCTGCTGATTTTTAGCTGTAACTTGCTGCACAAAGCAACCACCACAGTAACGGTTACTAGCCTAGTATGCCACACATCATAATAATTATTAGACATAGTCATCATCAAAGGTTAAATGGCTAGAATAGTGGCACTCACAGAAACATGCCGCAAGGTGTGGTGCCTTGGTTGCAACGGAGGAGTTTGGTCCTAGATCAATCATTGAATGCTTGGTGCTGTTAAACCAGTATGTAGGTTCGATATCCACAATGCGAGACACATTCAGCAGGAAACTGCTGACACCCGTGTTGTTGTGGACACTGGAATAGAGGTGAGCTCCAAAGCGGCATGTTTTGGAAGCCTCATATAAAGTAGCTACTGGTTTTGGGTGTACGACAATATGATAATCAATACCTGAAATGTCGATTATAGCAGCTAGTTGTGCTGTGTGCAGAAGCAAAGAAGCAGCATAAAAAGAAAAAAATCATGTCTGTAAGTTGGGTTTGAGGAAATCGGTGAATTGGCGCCGTCCCGATTTTCTCGTTCCGGGAATCAATTTGATGTCCTCGTTTTGTATCTCGAGAAACGTTACTCCTTAGGCTTTCCCCAAATTGGCCCGTTGTTTCGCCTATTTGGCTCTTCACCCGGCTGCAAAATCAGCTGATGGTTCAAAAATTGGCTGCAAAATTGGAATAATATTGAAAAATCGGCTAAGAGAATTGGTAGGGAGGGCCCAAATATGCTCAAAAATTTCGCATATTATGCTTTTTGCATATTGGCCACTTGCTTCAAAATAATGCTTCGAAATCACACAAAAGCAAAAAATATGCTCGAAATATGCTTGATCACCAGAGCTGATATCAGTGATAATTATGCGAATTCTTTGCACCTTGTAGCAAAATATGCCACATTTGGTACAATATGCTAGATTTGCTACTTTATGCGACCTCGAGTCAAAAAGGACCAAAATATGCGAAAATATGCGCAAGCATATTCGGGCCCTCCCTACATATTGGCTTCAAAATTGGTGAGATAATGGAAGATTTGGTAGATTTTCGTCAAATCTCAAAGGCACCCTCCAAAATCAGCGAATTTTTCGGCCGGAGGATTTGGGCATTTCACTAGTCATGATCTTCCTAAGGCCATGGTAAAAATTATCTTTGATTCTCTAGTACGCGTGCATCGATTTTTTTAAATTCTATGCATGCATATGCGTGCATGAAAACGGTCAATGCGAAAGGCATGAATCAGGGAGTAGTAAAAATGCCGGCATTTTTCTACTCCCTGGCCTGAATATAACATGTCACCATGTACATATGTGTGACCCTGTCTTTGGAAATAAAAAAAAATGTGGGAAATACAATAAAAATCGCTCGCTCGCAGCGATTTTCACAGGCTCATGACCTGAGAATCAACTTTATTTTTTACCATGGCCTAATGGCTAATGTTTGTCTGAGAGGAGGTGAAAGGACACGAGTCACACGACCTCAACGCACTAGCACTACAATTACTGAAGTAGAGATCTCGAACGGTCATGGTTGCAGCAACATCATTCCTTCCTAAACGCACATTGCAACAATATTTTGTAGATTTTCGGTGATTCTCAAAGGAATCCTCCAAAATCGGCGAAAAGCTTAGCAATTTTTTCCCTGGATACGTCTCGTTTCTGGCGAATTTTTCGGCCGGCAGATTTGAGGAAAGCCTATTACTCGTACGCTATTCATCCTCTCCTCTGTTCTAGAGAAATACAAAATACAGGTGTATTGTGGCAGGGTAGGTAAACTTTGTGCTCACTATTTATTATTATTATTATTATTAAGTAGTGGTTGCGACTTCGGCGATGATTTGTAAGAAAGGGTTTGCTCCCCACACTGGAGCTCGCGCTATTCCGCCGACTTTACTTGACACTTGACTGACTCACGACTGCCATCCAGAGCACACGAGAAGTCCATCGAACCTTCGACCACATGACCTACCACATCGAGCAGAACGAGATCCAAGCACAAGCTTAACGACGGCTAGGCTGCCGGCCTGACTGGACAAAAGATCTCTGGCTTCACAAGATGCCAGAAGTCGGAAACCATGTCCTTTGCCGCGACATCCATCTCCGAAAAGATCTCCATCGTCGTCTAAAAAGGCTTGAAATACTCAATATTCAACCGAGATTCGCGGTCTCACCCTTTCTCAGATCTAATCATTTTTTGTTGTAGCAGTTGCAGGGCAAATCCCCGCGACTACTTCAACAGGGCTTGGCTCCAAAGCATGCCTGGAACAAGTCATATCGAGGTTGCAAGCCACCCCTCTCAGCAAGAAATTCGAAATTTCAATGGTGGAAGATGTACTATGAAGAGAATTTCAAAAAGTATGGTTCGAGGCGCGATCGTTCAACCTACATCATTCAAACTTTGCAGGATGGTTCTGACCTACATGGTAGGCATGGAACCAAAGGGTTTGATGTCATAGCTGACACACATAGTCACACACACAGCACATTCGTGTGCACAGATACTAAATTAGTGAACGTCGTCATCTTCTTCCCGCCGGTCTCAAAATTAATGTACTATGACGTACTATTTCGCCTGACGATCTCAAGTCATCACGCCGTCTGTCACGTGGTCCGCCATCTCAAGGAGCCGCGGCTGCTCACGTCTTCACCTTCAGGTTTTTCTGGTGTTATGCTGGGCACAGTTTTACGTCGTGTCCGGGACCACTCAATGACGACGACCGACGAGAGACGGGAGAGATGATTGATAAAGGACGATGACGACGGACGAAACTATGAGGAAGACTCGAGATGACATTGGAAACTGGGAGCGAAGGCCACGCAGGACGAATCCAGAAGTTTACGTATACGACAAATTTCCACCATCGCTGCCACCAATGTTGTAACTGCCTTTTCTTCACCTGCTCCTAGCCCCGTGTCATCTCCACACTTATACAATGGACGACGATAACTACATTTAGAAAGACTGTTTATTGCAAGACGACTACGGAAACACAACTGGACATGATGAACTCAAGACGAAGACTGCTTTTCACACCACAGCAACATGCGCATGCAACACCACGTACACACAATGTACACATGACGTGCACAAAATAACGTACTACAACATATTTGAGTATTGTTTCATCAAGCGAGTTCACACTGCATTTTAAAACCAGAAAAAATCCCTTACCGTAGCATGCTACCTGCCCTACTTTCTGCTGATCTTTTCCTAAGTAGGTTGTATAGCCAGCCTTGCGCCATAGGTATTTCAAATTGTAACCAGCAGTTTCCGGCAGGTACTGATAACCAAATGCAGTGGCACAATTTCTCGCCCTGAATGGTGCAATTGTTGCTCCCATGGCATGACAGGCGGTCCTGGCTTCCTGTAATGACACCAGCTTTGTGCGAACATTACAGGTGGACCGCGGTAGGACCATATATCCACCAATTGGACAATATGGAATCCCATCGAAATGCCTATTGTTTGAGTAAAAATCTAATGGGAAGAAAAGCAATAAACACACACACACACACACACACACACACACACACACACACACACACACACCTTCAGACCTCAGACCTGCCCATCACGGAAACGATGATAGTGAACAGCTATGTTAGACATAGCAACTTGTGCTGGAATAACATTACTCAACAGCTTGCAAGGCTGATGGATTGATCGCCACTAATTTTAGCCTGGTATCCACCACACAGCTGATTAAAGTGACTCCCTCTCTCTCCCTCTCTCTCTCCCTCTCTCTCCCTCTCTCTCCCTCTCTCTCCCTCTCAGCCTGGTATCCACCACACAGCTGATTAAAGTGACTCTCTCTCTCTCTCTCTCCCTCTCTCTCTCCCTCTCTCTCTCCCTCTCTCTCTCCCTCTCTCTCCCTCTTAGCCTGGTATCCACCACACAGCTGATTAAAGTGACTCTCTCTCTCTCTCTCCCTCTCTCTCCCTCTCTCTCCCTCTCTCTTTTTCTTTGCAGCAAGATAATGACAATCGCGTTCGCAGAGCCTCATGGTAAGACATAGCCAGTTTGTAGGCATTAAAGTCGTTCTCGTACGCATTCGACCTTCATGCCAGTTTTCTATGACTATATTGACCTGAAAAAGACGAAAATAGTATGGACCCGCTGGGGTGGGCGTTTGCAACGGACTATACGGTATATCTGTCTCCTCTGCAATAGCTGCTGCTTCTTCGTCAGTCGGAAAAGCAGCAGCGCTCACTCTTGACCGGCCCGCTCGGCCATTTCTTCAGCTTAATATCGAGGTTCTCGGCCCCAGACCGAAGTCATGAAGATCAGCCATGGCTGCATCCTCACTCTCACATGGAGTTACCGGTATGTCTTTGAGGTCGCTTGCACCACCTACTATCGGTCGCCAAATCATTTGAAATAGCATTGACACTATTGCTTTCACGCACTCCTTTTGACCTAGCTGAACGCTATGACATTGCGGAGGGTGTGGCGCAGCCGCATGACGTCATGGCGCAGCCCCCGAAACTCAGTTTTTCAAACGGAAATATCTAGAGAACGCTTTGTCGAAGACACGTGGGACCAACACCATATTATGTGAAGAGAAGCCAGGCGTCAAAACCAATCCAAAATATGTTAACTCTCGTCTTATTCTTCGGTGCAACAGTTAGAAAAAAATTAGATGTCTACGTTTCGTGACGAAAAACCTAGGCGCGGCTTATACTCCGGCAAGTATGGTATTATTTTGAGGTGTGTTTTTCCAAATGACAGGATGTAGATGCAGTCTGTATTGGCTATAGCATACCTTTTCTTTTCACCTATGTCTTCACGAAACACAGACATGTAGCCTATGTTATCACCGATAATTTCACCATCATAGTCTAAGCTGGTTGGTCTCACCCTCTCCTCAATTCAATTGGCTGTCTTGACATGCCACGAGGTGCAGAAATAAATAAATAAATAAATAAGCTGCATGGCCATTTGTGTTTTTTGTGGGCGTTTAAAGTGCAGCTTACTTGGAAATATGGTTTATTTTTATTCTGAAAGATCAAGAGGTTCTACACGGTGTCTTTGGATTATCCACGTGGATAAACTTGCCACGAGATCTTTGCAGATCGGAAGACACATGATATGCCCAGACCGAAATCCCCGTCCAACGCCTTGTAAGACCGCTTTGCTTTTGTGCCCAAGTATGAAGCCCCCCTACCAGGCCAACCATACCCGAGCTAAGCCTGTTCCAAGCGCGCACATTACCTTACACCTTACACCATACACACAAACACACAACTCAGCACCAATACTGTAGCGCAAACCAGGTATGGCCACGTCACATCAGCCTCCACTACGCTACACCCACAGAGTACTGTCATTGATGCACAAAATGCTCACCTAATCCTTCTTTTTCCTTTTTGTCGCAGGTCACTCCAGAATAGCCACAGCTGCAACTGCATTGACTGTCAACACATTGGCTGTGTTGTGAGCATAGCTTGCACGGCTCAGCTGAAAACATGAGGGAGAAACAGGAGATAGAAGAAACAGGAAGAAAAGTTAATGAAGGAAGAAAGAAAGAAAAGATGCAATAGGCAAATGGAAAGGATGTGACGGCAATAGGTAAAAGCAGAGCGACAACAGCAACGACAATGGCCAGGACAACATTACAACAACCACTTCAGCTGCCGCTACCACCGCTGATATTGCAAGCACCGGCCGCACGAGCACCTCCAGCACCCCCCCCCCCCCCCCGCACCAGCAACCACAACAACCACAACAACAACAGCAACAACAGCAACAACAACAACAACAACAACAACAACATCCGTATGTACTTGCTCACATTGCTCAGCACATCTATAGCTCCATTGTGCCCAGCCTATGTGATAAACTCCCTATTGCCATCGCTACTGCTTCAGCAAGCAGCTAAACTTTGATCTCTCTGTATCCGATCCCCGTGCCGGTAATTATTTTTCTCTTATTGGCCATAGGCCATCGTGAGAACAAAAGATTTCAAACAACAACAGCATCAACAACAAAAGAATTCAAATTCAAACAACAACAAGCAGCAGCAGCAAAAACAACAGCAACAGCAGCAACAGCAACATAAACAGCAACAGCAGCAACAGCAACATAAACAGCAACAAAAACAGCAACAACACCAACACCAACACCAACACCACCACCACCATCACCAACATTACAGCAACCACTTCAGCTGCCGCTACCACCGCTGATATTGCAGCTCTGTCACCAGCAGAACATTTAGCACCGGCCGCACGAGCACCTCCAGCACCCCCCCCCGCACCAACAACAACCACAACAACAACAACAACAACCACAACCACAACCACAACAACAACAACACCAAGTATAAAGAATTCAAACGACAACAACAACAATCTGCTCCTGCAGCGCTCACCCTCTCCCATACTTGTAAAGTTCAAAGTGATGTAAATCACTTTCCAACTGTTTAACCCACAATCTCACCTTCTCATAAATTTATCTCTTATTGGCGATGGTGCCATCGTGAGAATAAAGAATTCAAACAAGAACAACAACAACAACAACAACAACAACAACAACAGTGGCAGCAACAACAACAACAACAACAACAACAACAACAACAACAACAACAATAGCAGTAGCAGCAATTACTCACCATAGCAGATTACATTTCCGACTTGATCATCACCATTGGCGTCAGATCCATCCCTGGACTTCAGTTTGAAGTCATTAGTTGTCTCGGTTAACCACCCATCTGTCCATACAGCGTCATAGCCAATATAATTTCCAATACCGCTGTGGTAGGCAAAGTCCCACAAGCAGTGAGCAGCACTCTTTGGTGGTAAAGTCAAATTTTGCGCCCCGCAAATTTTCATTGCTTCAGAAAGGTTTTTCTTGGTATTTGCTCCTTCTGAAAAAAGCATCTGTGGAACTGCGAGGTAGATGCCCACTGGACAACGACGATAGGTGCTAACGATTGATAATAAAGATTCATGCCTATAATATCCTGGCAGGAAGAATCACACACAGAAGAGGAAAGGTTGTGAGGGCCAATGACTATTTTTTGTTTGTTTGGGGACAACAGCTTTTGTTAAGAGCTTTGAAGAGTATAAGCATCGCAGTCAAAATCATTCATCATAGCACGACAAAACAAGCAGGAAGGGTGAGATGAATGCAGGACTAGTTTATACTTTTCTGTTTCAATTCCCTGCCTCTTATGAGTACTGTTTAAAACAAGAAGAACATCAGTACAACATGCAAGCCCATACTGTCAAGGCGTGCAACTAGTACTGCTTATACGGACTGTGCTGCCACATAATAGCGGCCGATTGATTTGTATTGTTATCCACAACATGCATCCTTGTCGTCCTTTCAACCTTTACTTCAAAAGTACAGTAGAGTCGCGCGCTGAAGAACGTGGAGCCCAAGAACGTACAGCCTGATATTCTAAGAACGCCACAGCCTAAAGATAAAGCTAAGAACGGCGGTGTTGGTTTTCTGGCAGCTTATGGGATACATGTGATCCAGCACGGATTGTTTCTAAGTACGTACTATAAGAATGCAGCCAGATTGCTGACAAAATAAGAACGTCCCAGGCTAACCCCTTGGCAACAACGTTCTTGGGCGGGCGACTCTACTGTTTAAATTCAATAGTGCCCCAGATGTGGCACTATACAAGAGAGAGCACTATTCAAGACACCGAGGTGTGCAATTTGATACTCGGATGTCGCTACTCTTCAAAAACCTGCATCTATATGTAACCGTCTTTTTTACATTCAAGAGAAGGCACTATTTTTTTCAAATGATGGTACATTTACGTCATCAAGCATAAAAACAATGAAGGCAAAGAAAACAGAGCCTAAAGTTTACTCTAAACTCATAAAAACAATGAAGGCAAAGAAAACAGAGCCTAAAGTTTACTCTAAACTCTCACGACTCTGTAACGGAGATTTTGATCATGATGCCCCCAGAGCAATGGCATGGGCAAGACTAGTGGCAAAAGAAAATCAAACCGTTGCACATGTGCTTGGTCACAAGCCCCGGGGGTGAGGCACTATTCAAGAGAGGGCTTTATTTTTTCACTGGCTCTCGGAGACAGGGGCACTATGAGATAATGCACTACGTTATTCAAGAGAGGGCTCTAACCGCAAGAGGACAGTATACAGGACACGAGCGAGTGCATGCATAGACCACTGGATTCGTAGCTTCGATTGACAGCTCAACATCCAAAGGGAAATTCCCGTTAAAAGTAAAATACATCTGTAATGGTGAAAGAGAGTCGAACATTGGACCAAACAAATAAAAGGCAAAGGCAGATGGATAAATATACATTCTATTACTTCCAATGTCACTTATCATAAGAAGAATCCTGGGCTCATCACCTGCATAATGGTAGCACTGGACTTCTACGACTAGTATATTCTGTGGCATAGAAATGAAATTGACTCTGACTGAAGCATTGTAGATGTATACCTGCCTTGGTACAGGTACGTTGATTCAAAGAATATTTCAAAAACTCAGATGGTGAGCCAAGGAAAAATTTGTAACTTGGAAATTGTGGGCACAAGTTATGCGATAGATTCCACCAACTAAACCAGAATTTGAACAGTCAGACGTGTTAGTTGCTGGACTCGATCGCATAACTTGTGCCCACAATTTTCATTTTACAAAGAATATAATAAAAAAGAGAAGAAACACATGAGAACGACTGGCGCAGTGTCTCAGTTTAAAGAATCTTTTGTTGGGAATAAAAACCTGCATACAAATCAAGGCAAAAACTTAAATACTCAATCAACTTGTGATAGGTATGATGAATTGAGGAGCATCTTACACAACAGTGTGGCTTGCAATCTTGACAAAATCAACTTTGGTACAGCGTATCTCCATTGCACCTGGGTACAACAGCAACGTAGGCTACTCTCAAATGACCAGACAGAGGCTGGAAGTACCAGCGCAAACAGAACACAAAGAAGCAGTAGTCTTTGCCAGAGGGTCTAGACACCTGGAGTGTCCCCCCTCCAATACGCTGCACTACAACTCACTCACCTGGCTTTGGAGAAGACCAAGCGTGACGCCACGCAGCGTCAGTAAAGAGCACCCATGCGCTCGCAATGAGCAAAATACTCAACAATGCCTGGACAGAGGGCACACGTCATGCAATACAATGCCACAGCCAAACACATGTATTGGTAAACCTTCACAAGCCAAGCAAGAGACAAGCACAAAGCAGTCATGTACATGTCACACATAATGCGCAGTACTACTTGTCATAACAGAGACTCCGCACAACGTGACCATGGTAGTAAAACAAACAAAGTCAACCTACAGAAAGTTAGTCTTTTGAAAATGCGCTACTTGGGTTCATGCACTCTGTGCCATGCGTCATAAAATCTTAAATGACTACATAGTCTGTACATGACTGAACACTATGTGCAGTGGGCATAATGTGGCAGTGTGGATGGAACTCATGCTAATGACGTACATAAAGCACACCGGAGAAGTGTACAGGATGGTTGTATTCATTGCAAGGAACAAAATGACGTACAGTAAAACCTGTCAAGGCGAACACTCAAATAAGGCGACCACCTGTCCAAGAAGACCACTGAAACCAGGATCAAGGGATGATATTTCCAGTCAAATGACCCTGGATAAGGAGACCACCTGGCAACAGAGACGACATTTTGAAGGTCCCTTGAGTGGTCGTCTTAGATAAGGTTTACTGTACATACTTGACTGATTGTGTTGTATGGTGATGGGTGCAAAGGAGAATTGAGGCCTGGGGGGGGGGGGGGGCACCTGTAAATTGAGGACAGTTGGCCTCAGTCCCTTGGGTGTCCATAATTGTCAGGCTCGACTGTACTCTACTTTCCACTTCACCACCAACCACTACACGAACCCCGTCATGATATCCTGGATTGGCCAGGGCCTGCCTAACGACAAATAATTTCCCTTTGACTTCGTTGAAGCATGATGATGACGGCAGAGCTAGTTCTCTTTATTGCTGTATTAAAGTTGTTGCCTTCCTAAATCTCCCGTACAGGTTTTTTTCACTCTGGCAAATGGAAGCGAGGTTGGAAATTCTAAATTTTCACGTCGTTCCCACTGGAGCCGTTTTACAGCACTGATAAAGCGCACTACAATGGTACAAGATTCGTATGGGAAGATCTGATAAATGCATGGCCTCGCCGCCTCTCTCCCCGCCTCTCGACCACTATAATCCTGAAATACTGATACACATACTGATAGGTTGAGTACATACCTTGGCCATTTCTGGTGGCTAGCTTTTCCGCTCTTAGATTCTGATTCACGGACGTTTTCCTCCTTGACAGATGTTGCTACAGCAGGTTGTAACAGCAACACAAACTCTCAGTCTTCTCGCTTTATAATCTCTATTTAAAGGATCTCCCAGATCAGCAGAGGCGATGGCCTGTCGAGCTGCGAGGGGATCTCCAGATGCATATCATGCAATAGAAATACACAGTGAGGAAAACTGCATGCATACCGATATGCTACAGAACAACAAGGACGATCAAGGCTTGTTTGCTGCTACTTCACGTTTCATACATAATGAGCAATAAAAACAGGGCTAGGCTGTTCCACTTGTCTACTAGTACATTGTTTCTAGTGGGAGTCAAAACATACAAACTAGTAAATGCTTACAACTTCTTTCGAGAGCTCTTCTTCTTCTTCTTCCTCGTCCTCTTCTTGCACAGGAAATGAATGCAATGCTGAAGTGCCTGAGCTATTTGCATTAAGGCCGATTCACAATACAACTTTCTGCTGTCGCAAGCTGTCGCAATGCACCTGTCGCAGAAGTTGAAGAAAGTTCAACTTTTGCGACATACACAGATGGAGTACAGTTTCGACCCTGGGTGCACGTGCATAGTACTTCTTGTGCATGAGGATGTCGCAAACATGAAGAATATTGTGAACCGTGTGTCGCTATTTATTTTTTACCAGGCGTGGGCCATCCCCTGATGTCATAGGTGCCAGTCGCTGTCGCAGCTCGTCGCATGTGTCGCAAGTCGCATGTCGCGTCGCAGAAAGTTGTATTGTGAACTCTCTCAGGCGCAATTCTGCCACTACCAGAGCGGTATGGACAGTATGTCACCGTACCAAGAGTCCATAACCGGGGGGGTTATGGACTCTTGGGCTGTGTTTACATGAGAAATTTCAACCCGGGTCGAGTTCAGCCCGGGTTGAAAGTCTGTACGATAGACAAAAGAGGTGAGCGTTTACATGAAGACAGTTGACCCGGGTCAAATACTGATATGCCGCCAAAAGTCCACTTCTACAGTTCTGTATGGTCACGTGAATCTGTTCGCGCGAAATGTGCATCTGCAGTGCCGTTCAAACCTGGCGCGAGATACGCACAGAAGTACGTTTGTACGATTTTCTTGACCCGGGTTGATTTCAACCCTCCCCTTGGGGGGAGGGTTGAAATCAACCCGGGGCGAAATTTCAACCCGGGTCAAGCGCAATGCGTCATGTAAACGCGCCATTCACTTTGTGCACATGGCGGGTTGAAATCTGACCCGGGTCGAACTCAACCCGGGTTGAAACGCTTCATGTAAACACAGCCTTGGTGGGAGCTTTTTTTTTCGAATTTGAGATGAGTTGAGTTTTTTGCTGCTCCGGGCTTTTGAGCGGATCTTCGATTGGTTTCAGTGCGGTGCGCGTCATATCGCCAAGCGCGCCATGCAGGGTGGCCACCAATGTTGTCGGTGCAACGGCAAAGGCTCCTGTGTTGGCTGTGCTTGTGTCAAGAGTGGAAGGAACTGCCAAAACTGCGGCCCTGCTCAAAATGGAAGGTGCAAGAACCAACCACCCGCGGCGAGCCAACCATCTTCGCAGTGTACGGGTACGGGCGATACGGTAACGGCGGCTGGGCCTCGGGCCAGCGGCAGTGTTGTGAGTACGGTAGTGCAGGGTTTGCAGACCCCGAGGAAGGCAACAACCGCTGAGGAGATTGCCTCAGCTGCGCTCTCCGCGGCGCTGTCGACGACTCCTGTCTCGATATCGAGCTCCCAGCAATTTGCATGGGACACGCTGGAAGGTGACACAGCGAGCAATGCCAATGACTCTGACATCCCCGAGGACGTGGCCTCAGACAGTCAAGCAGCCCAGCTGCTCGCCACATTGGATGCCAGCCAGCGTGAGGATCAAATCGCTGCAGACGCACACGTTTCACTTCCTCCACATGTGGAATCAACAACAGGACCGTTCACACTTGGAACAATGGACAGTCAAGCCACACAAGCTGCCATTCATGCAGCATACGAGGAAGCAGTGCACTTCAGGCCAAACACCTTTGATGTTCCTCATGGAACTACGGGCAGAGCTTTTATCTCCACACTCAGCAGCTATCTGCAATGCTTTGGAGATACAGGTCCATATGAGGGTCAGGCAATCAAAATTGCTTTGGTATTCCAGCAACTGCTCCTACAACAACCCCATGCATCCTCGTCACAGTCATTCTCTAAGCGTCTCCAGGCGCGCCTTGACCTCTGGAATCGTGGTGAGCTTGACGAGCTGCTCTATGAATGCCGCACTATCCAGCACCTCCTGCGAGCACACGCGTCATCCCCGAAAAGCAGGGCCGATGAAGCCAGAGACTTTGCAAACCTCGTGACCAATGGGAAACTGAGGTCCGCCACCCACATGTTGGCAGATGGTGGTCGTGGAGGAGTGCTGGACTTGGATGACTCCATCAATGGAAGCACCGTTCGGGATCTCCTTAAGGCCAAGCACCCGGAGGCGCAGCCTCCTCATGCGGAAGCATTGCTTCAGGGTCAGGCACCCGTGCCTCCCCACCCTGTACGCTTTGAGTCACTCGATCGAGACGCACTACGCAAGGCCGCCCTGCACACCCAAGGAGCTGCCGGTCCCTCCGGGGTGGATGCTGCCTCTTGGCGGCACATGTGTACATCCTTTGCCGATACATCGGACCAACTCTGTGACGCTATGGCCAAGTGTGCTCGTCGTCTCGCTACTACGTACGTGGACCCGGCGTCACTAGATGCCTACACTGCATGCAGGCTGATTCCACTCGACAAATGCCCTGGAGTCAGGCCAATAGGCATCGGGGAAGTCTTGCGGCGCATAGTGGGGAAGGCCATCCTCGAGGTGATCCGCCCCGAAATCATGGAAGCTGCTGGCAGTCTCCAGCTTTGTGCGGGGCAAGATAGCGGCATAGAGGCGGCAATCCATGCGATGTGCGACGTATTTGATGACCCTTCCACTGAAGCCATTCTTCTGGCTGACGCCACCAACGCGTTTAACTGCCTAAATCGCGAAGTGTGCCTCCGTAACATCCAGCACCTATGCCCATCACTCGCCAAACTCGTGATCAACACCTACCGAAAGCCCGCTAGCCTCTTCGTCGGCGGCGAGAAGATCTTGTCATGTGAGGGTACCACACAGGGCGACCCCGTCGCCATGGCGATGTATGCCATTGGCATCATCCCACTTATGAAAGCTGTTGCAACAGAAGGAGCAGTACAGGCATGGTATGCAGATGATGCCGGATCCGGTGGCAAGCTGAAGAGCGTCCGAGTGTGGTGGGATCAGCTGACGGAGAAGGGCCCCAAATATGGCTACTTCCCAAATCCAGCTAAGTCTGTCCTAGTGGTCAAGCCCCCACTCCTCGACGAGGCCATCCGGATTTTCGCTGGTACTGGTGTTTCCATCCAGGCAGATGGATGCCGCTACCTTGGTGCAGCCATCGGGTCATCCGCGTTCGCCACGCAGTACGTGCAGCAGAAGGTCGAGGAGTGGGTCGCACAGGTCCAACGGCTGAGTGACTATGCCCGCTCTCAGCCTCAAGCTGCGTATGCCGCGTACACCCATGGCCTACAGAGTAAGTGGACCTTTCTCTGCCGAGGCATGCCAGCTATGGATGAGTACCTGCTTCCACTTGATGATGCTGTGTCCAACATGCTGATCCCTGCCCTTCTGGGACGACCGGTGAATACCCAGGAGCGCAGCCTCCTTGCTCTTCCGTGTCGCTTCGGCGGTCTCGGGCTGCCCCACCCATCGTCGCGAGCCTCCCAATATCAGTCTTCTCGAGACATCACCGCGCCCCTGACAAGCCGTATCTTGGTCCAAGATATGGAATTAGGCACCGCCATTGACGATGTACGCGCTGCCAAGAAGCAAGCGAAGAACACAGTTGACGCCTCGGTTCGGGCTGATGCTGTGCTTCTTTCCTCATCTGTGGATACTGAGTTGCAGCGGGTCATTGCGCTAGCGTCGGAGAAGGGAGCTTCTTCCTGGCTGACCTGTCGACCCTTGAAGCGGCATGGCTTGACCCTCACCAAGGGTGAGTTCCGCGACGGAATCCACTTGCGCTACGGCTGGCTTCCACAGCGACTGCCATCATCTTGCAGCTGTGGAGCCACATTTTCAGTCGCTCACGCTTTGTCTTGCCCCACAGGGGGGTTTCCGTCGGTGCGGCACAATGAGGTGCGTGACCTCACTGCCCATATGCTGAAGCGAGTGGCTCACAATGTCTCCGTGGAGCCCCACCTGCAGCCGGTCACTGGGGAGCAGTTCCGGTATCGCACCGCTATCCAGACTGAGCAGGCCCGTCTCGACGTTGCGGCAAGTGGCATCTGGGGTGGCCGGTTTGAGCGCACCTTCATCGATGTGAGGGTTTTCAATCCTCATGCGACCTCAAACCGCGCCACCTCCATTGCTTCCTGCTACACCAAGCACGAGAAGGAGAAGCGGCGCTGCTACGAGCAACGTGTCCGCGACATAGAGCATTCGTCGTTTGTTCCGGCCATATTCTCTACCACTGGTGGTTTGGGCAAACACGCGGAGTCGCTCTACAAGCGGATAGCTTCTCTTCAAGCCGCGAAGACTGGAGAAGCATACAGCTGTGTTATGTCTTGGGTTCGATGCAAATTGAGTTTTGCCCTACTCCGGTCCAGCGTGATGTGTTTGCGCGGATCCCGGAATCTTCGGCCGGTGCAGTTGGACTCACCTCCCACCTTGGCGGTTGCTGAGGCAGGCATTCGCATTTGATACCATTTGCCTCTGGTTTTGTCTGTATTTGCTTCGTATGTGCTCTTTTCATCCTACTACTAGTAGTTTTCAGTCCGCTATCGGGCGGCTGCACTCCAGCTCTACTTTGCACTTCTCTTAACTTCTTTTTCCTTTGACTTGATCATTGGTATTACATGTAAAAAATAAAAAAATAAAGCTGCAAAAAAAAAAAAAAAAAAAAACTTGGTTGCACTGGCAAAATGGGTGTCCACTGCACGCGTACGTACGGTGGTGCGCGGATGTACAAATTTTTCTTACTGCACATGCATGCGCGCATGAATGCTTTTTAGGGCGATATAATACATAATATTGTACTACTCCCTGGTTCGTAGGGTCATATGTGATAACGGCCTATATCACCCGCCAAGTGTTATCACTTGGGTTTTGTTAGGTTCACACCAGACCACCAGAGATACCAGTTTATTATAGTCGGTAAAGCATATATCTCACGGGACGAGGACAGATTTTTAGACACCAGCATTAGGGAAAGGACTTTACTTCTGGCTAGATTATCGAAGTTTGGTTATCTCGGAGTGAACTAGAATAGAATGTACGGTGCAATGCATGAGCGCGCCCATTTAGCTGGGCGCGCATTATTATGTGTATAGCCCGACTATGTACACTATAAAGGGATGTAATTAGATCAAATGTACGGTGGTTTTTATGTGCAGGGGCAGAAGGAGGGAAAACGGGCTGCAAATGTGTATGGTACTAATTATTACATGCAGGGGCAGCGGGGAAATGGGTCAAATAATATGGTTATAAGTGTGTACGTACGAACTACTTTTTTTTTTTTTTCAGGGGATGCATGGCCCACGCCTGGTAAAAAGAAAAAGAAAGAAAAAGAATGTCTGGCACCTATGAATTCAGGGGATGGCCCACGCCTGGTAAAAAGAAAAAGAAAAAAAGAAATCATAACAAAGAAAACTAAAGAAAAAAGAATGTTTGGCACCTATGAATTCAGGGGATGGCCCACGCCTGGTAAAAAGAAAAAGAAAAAAAGAAATCATAACAAAGAAAACTAACTAATAGCGAAAACAATACAGCCATATAACAAGAGTTGAGGGTTAACCCAGACGACACTCAGCATTCACTAGAGCTGAGGGGCACTCCAGCTGCTGATCCAAAGGTGCTCGCCTGGATCGATGACCTCTTTTAAAAGCTTGCAATCGCCGATCTGATGAGGGCAAACCCTAGGCGGCAACGGAGGTGAGCCATCACCATGGAGAACGGTTCCTTCCGCTTCTCGGCCAGCATTGATGCAATGCGCTTGAGGAAAGCAGAGGCAGCCTTGCCTTGACCACCGGAGGCACAAAACACCAAGGGGACGAACGATGCCTTCTCTACTTCCCTAACACGCTCTTCATAGTACGTACGAACTACTGCATGCAAGGCGAGGGGTAGGGGGTAATGGAGTGTGTACGAATTACTGCATGCAGGGGTAGGGGTAGGGGGTAATGGAATGTGTACGAATTACTGCATGCAGGGCTATAGGGGTAGGGGCCCAGGGGGTAATGGAATGTGTACGAATTACTGCATGCAGGGGTAGGGGTAGGGGCCCTACTACTAGGGGGTAATGGAATGTGTACGAATTACTGCATGCAGGGCTAGGGGTAGGGGGTAATGGAATGTGTACGAATTACTGCATTCAGGGCTAGGGGTAGGGGGTAATGGAATGTGTACGAATTACTGCATGCAGGGCTAGGGTAGGGGGTAATGGAATCATGCCGGGGTCGGGATCCAAATATGGGATGCGTATAACATTACCTCCCCCGTGGGGAACAAAAATCGTGTCCCCACGATCTAGGAAAAAAAAGAAGTTGATAATACTATGCATTTTAATTAACAAGCACACATATACGTACACGTACAGCGCTACGCACATACAAGTCAGACATGCACTCATTCCGCAGATACCCACATGTGCAATTAATTATTCTAAATATACTACTCTACAGTGGATCCTACTCTGCATCGGACCAGTCGGCCTCCGAAACCAGTTCTGGATCCTGGCTGAAACGATCGAACCGGCCAGACGGGTTCGACGGTGGCGGTGGTGGTGGAGGTGTGGTCGGTGGGGGAGGAATCGCCCGGGGTCGGGCCCGCTGTTGGAGGCGAGCTGCGGCCCGTCGCCGAGACCTGGCGATGAAGGCGGGGGTTCGACGACGGCGGGTCTGGCGTGTATTGCGGCGTCGCTCAATCGTCCGTCGAGCATCCTCCGGTGGCATTAGTGGGCGTGGTGGTGTTGTGTGCTGGGAAGGGTGTTGTGGTTGCAGTTGATGTTAGATTTGTTGTTGAAGGTGTTGTTGAAGATTTGGTTGGTGGTGATGTCGGGGGTGATGTTGGTGGTGTTGTCGGGGGTGATGTTGGTGGTGTTGCTGGTGGTGTTGCTGGTGGTGATGTCGTTGCGGATGAGGCGGTGAAGGAGGGGGTCGTTGGAGTTGCAGGGTGATGGTCCTGCACACCGCGCGCAACCGAAACCAACAGAGAGAAAAACAAACACGCAACACCGGACACCACAGCAGACACACCAACATCCACAGGTCAAACTGAGACAGCGAGGACGAACACTCAGCTGGAGGTCTCAGAATAAGGGTGTGAACAAAGAGGGCAGGCGGGGAATGGTGACTCCCGCCATTATGGGGGCTGGAGGTGGGTTAACCGGGGCGTCCACAGGGGGAAGGTTTACGGGTCCAAAATACGCTTTAATCTATTCCTGTGGACGGTCATAACGGTGGTGCGGCGGGCTGAATGGACGCCCAGCCGCTTAATGGTATAAACCAGGGGGGAATGAACTACAGAAACTTGCCATGGACCATCCCAATACCGGAACAACTTAGGACTGTCACCAGCCTGGGGGTGTCGGTAAAGCCAAACAAACTGTCCCACCTTCAAGGTATCGGCATTGGCCTTCAGATCATAGTTGGTCTTAGCACGACGGTGGCCAACATCCAAATATTCTCTGACTAACCTATAGGCCGCCTCTAAACGTTCCCTCAAACGGATAACATAGGAGGTGGGGCTGAAAGTGACAGGTGTAGGGTCTGGGGTGGGGCATAACAAATCTAGGGGCAGACGGGCCTCCCTTCCGAACAGTAAGAAGAATGGGGTAGAGTGAGTGGAATTATGCACACTCGTATTGTAGGCCAGTTGTGCCAGCGGCAACCGTTCATCCCAAGAATCACAATCAGCTGAATCAATGAAAGCTCGGAGCATGACTTGAATCGTGCGGTTATCGCGTTCAATCATGCCATCACACATTGGGTGGTACGGGGTTGTCCGAGTCTTTTTCACATCAAACCGTTTGCACAATTCTAGAAACAGCTGTGAGCAAAATTGTGATCCTTGGTCGGAATGGATTTTCTCAGGAGCACCGAAACGTACAAAAATTCGCTCAACTAAGGCCACGGCAACGGTTTGGGCAGTAATATTGGGTAATGGAATGATCTCAAGCCATTTGGTAAAGTAATCCCCAATGACGAGAATATACTTATTATTATTGGAAGTGGAAGGTAAGGGTCCCATAATGTCCAGTGCAATGGTTTCGAACGGCTCGCCAGCTTTTACGTGAGACATGCCCGCTCGAGGCAGTGGCCGAGGGTTCTTACACACTGCACAGACATTACAGTTGCGGCAATACAAAGCCACGCTGGTTGACATATTGGGCCAGTAGCACGTTAAACGTAAGCGGGCTAGGGTCCTATCGACTCCAAAATGACCAGAGGAGGGGTGGTCATGGGCTAAGGCAAGTACCCGGTCACGTAAGGAGGTGGGGACAACCAGTTGTTTGTAAGACTCCCTATCCAGAGTTGCATCAATAGTACTTCCTCCGTATACAAAAACTTCGTGACTTTTTTTGAACGGTGTTTTTGAGCAAGAACCTGCTCGACGAACGGCGCCAAAGGCTGTCATCGACAACCCACGTCCATGTGGAGGTTAGTTTGGTTGATCCCGAACAGATTCTCCACGGACGCCATGCGTGTGAGGACGTTGCCGACAGAAACTCAAGAGTCAAAATAACTAACACTTACTTGCTCGAAACTGACACAGTGACGAAGTGTAGCTCGTGGTTAGAACACGGAGTCACGCAGCACTCGCTGCCCTGAAACTGGCCAGGCTCGTACTTGCGGTGCGCGGCCCCATAGATCTACGCAGCGTGAGAACATAGATTTGTTTCGCTCGCACGGCAAGATGAAACATTTCAGTCGTCGTGCAACCAGCGCAGACTCAGGATTAGAATGTCGATGGCCTGGCGTTCTTCGCCTCTCTCCAGTCAGACGTCTCCTTTGTCGCCAAGGGGAATCGCAGGGACCTCCTCGAAGCCATTGTAGAATGCTTGGGAGGATTATCCTGGCGAGAAAATGCGAAGCGGTTGGATGTGCTTGTACGACTCGTTTCACGGCAGAATGGAGGTCGCGGGTTGGAACAACTGAATATAGTCGACACAGATTCGTACACAGCTCTAGAGATGAAGAGGACGTAGCCAAAAGTCCAGAGTCGGATCATCACTGCAGGTGACAAGAATCTGAACGAAATGCGAGCGGAAGCAGCGACTGTTGGCGATGCGGAGTCAGCTTCGTCAGGTGACAATGACATGAGCGACGAAGACTCTGAAAAAACTCAATTTCATTCGTCTGAGTTGCTTTTGTCTTTGTATATAGCTTGTAAACAGGTTAGACAATGCCACGAGCGTTATTCGAAGTCAAACGGAACCATTTCAGAGCTGTGCGCAGCTTTCAAAAAAAGTCACGAAGTTTTTGTATACGGAGGAAGTACGGTAAAGAATTTTATTGGAATTAGTAAGTTTGCTTTGTTGGGTTAACAAAGTACGGACAGTATTTGAATCCCCCTGGAGAATAACTGCACAAGGTTCATCATTTTCGGTACTTCGGGCATCTTGTAAGCGTTTGACGACTAGACTGATGTCGGGGTCATCTGCTACGGCTTTCTGCCAGAGATCGGAGTCACTGTCAGCTAGATCTACAGTTACGGCACGCACGTGGGCATCCGAAAGAACCTCATCGGCCGTGGATAAAATCGCACCTGCTGGTTGATCGAAGTGTATTCGGGAAAGGGCTTGAATAACGTTCTGTCTCAACGCCTCAAAAACCTCCTGTGGTTCGGTATTCCACACGAACTTAGCACTTTTCTTGGTCAAAGCAACAAGTGGGGCAGCTTTTTCAGCATAGTTCTCAATGAAACGGCGATAATAGCCAGTGAAGCAAAGAAAAACACGAATGCCTTTAACTGTGGTGGGGGGCTTCCAAGAAACAACAGGGACAAACTTCTCAGGGTTAGCAGCAATGCCCTGTGATGAGACTAGAAAACCAAGATAGGGTACGGTCTGTCTCAAAAGCTTGCATTTACGGGGCTTCAACTTCAACCCAGCTCGACGTAAAGCGGACAAGACTTTACGGAGACGGTCAAGGTGTTCGTCAAAGGTACTAGAAAAAATGATGACATCATCTAGATAAATCAGACAGGCGTCAAAGGTCAAGCCGCGGAGGGTTGCATTCATGAGTCGCTGAAAAGTGGCAGGAGCATTGGTCAGGCCAAAGGGCATTCGCGTGAATTGGAATAAACCATCGGGTGTGCTGAAAGCAGTCTTCTCTTTAGAATCTTCGGCCATTGGTACTTGCCAATACCCAGCCTGGAGATCTAAAGTACTGAAAAAGTGGGCACCCCAAAGATGATCTAGGGTATCATCTATCCTTGGGAGAGGATGGGCATCCTTCAGTGTCACTGCATTCAGCTTCCGATAGTCTACGCAAAATCGGGTAGAACCATCAGACTTGGCTACTAAAACCACTGGACTAGACCAAGGGGAGGTACTGGGCTCTACCACATCATTATCCAACATGTCTTGCACGTGTTTCCGTTCTTCATTTGCCTTGGTAGGGGCCAAACGTCTCGGGGCTTGATTGATGGGACGGGAATCACCAACATCAATCGTGTGAGCTGTTGCAATAGTGCAACCAATCTCCAAGTCGTTTTGGGCAATGACATCCGCAAACTCGTTCAAGACATGTTTTATTTGGGTCAACTGGTGCTCAGAGGCGGAGCAGCCAGAAAAATCAAATAATGTTGAAACGTCTACCGATTGTTGTGGGGAAGTATGTACGTTATTACAAAAATGGTGTTCAGGTGGACGAGGGCTCTGGAAGAAGTCGTCCCCAGCACTATCCCCAGTAGCAATCGGAGTGGAAGGGTGGTAATTAACAAATTCTGGGGGTCTAGTACCATGGAAGTGAACTCCAGAGTTACTAATTACACTATCCGGGGTCTCATTACGGGGAGAAAATGTTCTCTCTTCGGAGGATACAGTGGCAGATGTTGATGGGTTTGCCGCTCCTTCCACAGGAGAACCTGTGGGCGAAAAATCGTCCAACTCAGCGAATGAAAAAGATTCCATTCCATGCCAAGTGGCGATGGGATGATGCTCACGCAAAACTATCGGGGAATCTGACGGATTTAGTAAACGAACAGGAACTTCGCCGGCAACACTCGACTTGACCAATGTAGAACCTACTAGTACAGAACTGCAATTAGGGGAGGGCATTCTCTCAACCAAGCCAGTCGAGTAAGAACATGCAATTCTGCCTATGGCAATTACTTCTGAACGAGCTGGGATGCTCACAAGCTCATTCAAAATTACATCGCTACCTTGAACTGGAGACTGTGGCTCCACAGTTCGGCGGGGAAAATGCACCAGCTCCAGTCCTTCCCCAGACGCGCAAAAAAAGACCTCTCCCACTAATCCCGATATAACAGATTCTTGACTGATTTTTGCCGCGAAAGCGAAAAAATGTTCACAAATTTGAGAACTGTCCTAAATTGGTTCTGAGAGATGGAAGCCGTTTTACATGGCCTACGTCGTTTTACTTTGCACCACCTCGTTTTATTTCACACCATGTATTCTTGACGGGACGCTCTTTCGGCAGATATATTTTTAGTGAAGTTTCGTAGAGGAGACGTATATCGAAAATGTTGTGAACGAAGCTGAAATGGGCATTTTTATGCACCTAATTTCAAGCCGAATTATCGCCAGAGCACGCAGCGTTTTCGGCCAGCACGAAGGCGGCAACATATAGAGGTAAGCAATACCTATCACTTACAAGACAAATCTGATCTGTTCACGAGCTCCAAATACCTAAAATTCAGAACTTGCTGTGCTTGCTTGGCCCTATCTACATGTATGTTACATAGAGTATCACACACATTTGGCAAGTACAATGCACAACATTATAATACCGTCTTCTAAGCTGTAGTCTTCACTGGTTTACAGTTTTGGATCTGTAGAGTAAAGCCTCATTTACACTTCGCTTTGCGTAAGGGAAACACGTCACAACGGCCGTTTGCGGCGAGAAAGTTGACTCGATCTTGAGTTGAGTTACTTGTTTGGTCCATCGCGCGACCTTCGCCTGTGCGCATTGCGTTCATGAAATGAAGTATGAATCAGTCTTTAATGTGCCAGTCCATTGCTCAGTTTTACCATGTTCTTGCTTAAGTCTGTTGTGATTTATCTTGAATCTGTAGACATTTCGCCGTATTGGTACCATCCGTTCCATAAAAATGCTGGTTCTTGTAATGGCATGCACCATAAAATGACATCTGTTCTATAACCGTAATCATCTGCCCGCCATATCTTCTACATTTAGTGAGATGTTGCCTGGGGCTGCTGCACTGTATGCATGCAGTTGTAGTTCCCACCGCCTTGATGCTGGCGGCGTATTCAACATGACATGTATCCATTGTATGCACGCCTATGGATTCGTCCTTTTCTCATGTAAGTGTACACTCAAGATTGTTCTGTCTAATTGAGTGATCTAGACTTGTTCTCACTTTGGCCACCAATATTCTTGTATGCGAATCGTTCATCAGAGTATAACTTCATTTTCAGGCTCTCTGGTGTGTACATTCTCTCTTGCTGTCCAGGGTTGCTGCACTGTATATTTGTAATCATCGCTGACTGGCTGTTGGCAGAGTATTTGATGCGTGCACGTGTATGGATCCGTCCCTTCCTCATGTAAGTGCGCCAGCATTTGTGATATGAAGTTGAGTGATAGACCTCGTCTCAAATATAACACCATTTGCCAATCAGCGGCCATTCTAAGCGGGATATATTCAGCGATATATCCCGCTCGCTTCACATGGGTCACTTCGAGAATAAGGAAACTTTAAGCCTAGTTCACATTCGACGTAACGCTGACGGTATGGGGCGTAAGGGCCTGTTGGGACGGCCGGGGTGAGCTGTAAAATCT